GTCCACGCAAATGACCATAGGAAAGATCATTTTATCATAGGTAAAAAAATGTATTGTCTAAAATTTGTAGTTTAAATGTTGACAAAAAATAGTTGCTTGATGTCCCTGTCAGTGTTTTCTTGTTCATATCTAGCACTGCCATCTACTGGTCAGTGAGCGTTTAGGTATAATGAATGTACTGCAGGCAAATAGCTCAAAATATGATAAATGCTGCAGGAATCTAATTCACTTCACTTCATATTAGATCATAAAAGCACATGATAATCTGGTTTATCTGGTGTTTTAATGTCACTTTTGCAGCACGTTCTGATGGTATCACGTTCTCTCTGCAGAACAATGAACTGCCGGAGGATCTGACGAAGAACGAGCGCATCCTACGAGTCCTGCGTCTGGCCCTGCTGAACGCAGCGAGTTGATGACTGCTGGGTTTGCTCTTAGCTCTCTGCTGTCTTTGTTTTTGAGTTGATGAAAAATGAATGCACTACGTCCTCCTGAGAGAGGAGAAATCAGAGCTTTCCTGTCTCATACAGACGATGTTATAATGGTGCTTGCTTGCAACAACACAAATGCACTGAAAAGCAGAATTGCTTATTCTTCATCTTGGAAATGTTATGATATAATGTAATGTCATTCAGTTTTTTTTTTCTTAAGCATTTATTACATTTGTATATTTTGTAAGAAGCAGCTTATGCTTTTTGTTTAAAAAATTAAATGCTTAAAAAATTGTTTTATAAAATGAATACATTATTTTGGTGATATTATTTTAGTAGTGTCTTGTAGCCTGCAAATATATTTTAATTAATAGCATGTTTTCGTCAAAAGAGCTCATGAATCAGTGTTTATGCCATACGACTACTAAAACAAAGAAAGGAAATCTTCACAACCAAATAAAAAATAGTCACAACACAATAAAAAAAAAGCTCAATACTTATTCGATAAAAAATTACTCTTGGCTCTTTGATGAGTAGTTGTTCTTGACATATTTATTTTCTGCTTAATGGAATGTGGACTTTATTTTCTTTAGAAAAGTTTCAATCTTGGCGCTTACACGTTCGTTTTCTTAACATTTCATTTAGCATTTTGTCTGTGAATGAAGTGTGTTAAACTGTATATTTGTCAAAACAATAAATGTAAACGAAAATGCTGCTTTTTAAATGTCTTTCATTTAATGAAAGATGAATGAAAATCATTACATGATATTAAAATTTGATTTCATTTGATTGCTTGAACAATATTTAATTGGACTTATTTTTATTTATTTATAAACTGTACTTCTTGGCTCTTTCATGTGCTTTTTTTCTTGCCATATTTATTTTCCACTGAAATGCATTTTGGACTTTATATTTTCTTCAGTAGCCTAAATATCAAAACCTTGGTTCTTAAATATTTGTTTTTATAACATTTTATCTAGCATTTTGTCTGTGTATGAAGTGTGGTAAACTGTTTATTTTTCAAAACAATAAATGTAGACGAAAATGCTGCTTTTAACGTATTTTATGAGGGAATTAAATATTTTAAAATATATTTATTTGATTGCTTAAAACGTGAATTAATATTTTATTGTATTCTGTATTTCATTATTATTGTAATTTAAAAATATTTCACTTTTATTTATTTTTTTTTATTTTAAACATTACTGTCACCATATTTTACATTATTTGTTTCAGTAAACTCGAGATGTTCCTGTTAAAATGGTTGGCGCGTCGCAGTGGGCGTGTCCGATGCGCGGGAAAGGTGTGGCTCGGCGCTCGTCACTCGTGACGTCACTGTAAACACTCAACGATTTTTATTTTAAACATTACTGTCACCATATTTTACATTATTTGTTTCAGTAACTCGAGATGTTCCTGTTAAAATGGTTGGCGCGTCGCAGTGGGCGTGTCCGATGCGCGGGAAAGGTGTGGCTCGGCGCTCGTCACTCGTGACGTCACTGTAAACACTCAACGCGGAAGTGCGGGAGACGCATAGATTTACCGACGCTTCGAGATTCTGCTACACATTCATTTAAAAAAAATGTATACATTTGAATTGTTCCAGCAGTAACACATTATAAGTTCACCTTCAACAATGACGAATGTCAACTTACAGGTAAGAGACTTTACAAGTGGTATGACTGCCATAATAATGGACCTTTTCATGTATTAAATGTAATATGTGTATTATTTATGATTTGTTGTAATTTTTCTGCTCTATTTAAACGTATGTTTTGGCAACATACAGTCTAAAATGTAACTATATTGTTGAGGTTTAGAATATGTGTATTGTTTAACCGGTAAACATTCATTTGTTCGTTATATTTAGGTGGCTTGTTTATTTTTTTTGATACATACATAAATGTAAGAAAGTGCTTCTTAACTTATTTGGTGCATTGTAAAGTTTTTTAGCTCCTGTATGTATTCATCAGTCTGTCCTTAAACTGGTCTAACCAGTTATCCGTACATTACACCACACTATAACATAATCTTATACAACACAGATTTCATTTGAATTCCAGATTTGAAACATTTGAACCTGATCAAGTGATCTATGTATGGGTGTTTGTGTAACTACAGACAATATTATATTTGATTGTTTTATTTTTGCCTTAGACTTTTTAAATATCACTTGTGTACAGAATCATTTTATTTTATTTCCAGTTATTTTTATTTATGTTATTCCCAAAGTGTGAAATATTGTACAAAATTAAATTAGACTTGGCAAGAAAAAATGCTGTTTCTTTTTCCTTTTTGAATGTCTCATCTTTACTTGTGCACAATAGAAAGCCATTGATTTGGCCAGCAGAGCCTCTGAGGAGGACAAGGCCAAAAACTACGAGGAAGCCCTGCGCCTCTATCAGCATGCAATCCAGTATTTTCTTCATGTGGTGAAATGTAAGAAGCCAAAAGCCACTATTTATAAACTTCACTTAGATTTTACATGTCATTTTTAAATATATTTAGATCTTATTTTTTATTTTTTTATATTGAAACATTCTATATTTATTTAAAATGTTTTTTACATTTACATTTTACATTTAGACATTTAGCAGACGCTTTTATCCAAAGCGACTTACAATTGGGGGATACATAAAGCGATTCTTCTTAAAAGAGGCAAACAGATACAGGAAGTGCTTGTAATACCAAGTTTTTAGACATTGTTCAAATAAGTACACGCTAGAAAGAGAAGGAATAGATAAAGAGAGAGAATATATATATTTTTTTTTTTATGATGATGAAGTCAAGTAGCGTTGAAAGAGATGCGTTTTCAGCTGTCGCTTGAAAATGGTCAGGGATTGTGCAGCATGCTCCGTTAGAAAGGGCCTGATCTTTCTGATGTTGTGCAATGCAAACCATATATATATTGTACTTTTTAAGTAATTGTATTATTTAGATGATCCCATATGTAGTCTTATGATATATGTATATATTTAATATAAAGTATTGTGTTTTATTTAATTTTATTAACATGGATAGACAGATGAATTGTTATTATAATTTTATATATCGAGTATATTTTAATATATTTTACTTTTTTTTCCCACCTTAAATTTATTTGATCCCTTATTAATTGCAATTTAGCGAGCAAAAAAATTCCTGAACTAATAGTGGCCCTTTTTAATGTTTTATGGTCCAGATGAATATAATTTATTTTATAATATTATGTTTTTAATTTTTTATATGTATGTATTTATTGTATTTCATATCGTAAATGTATTTGATTAATCATTAAATGCATTTTATTGTGGGGAAAAAAAGTGAACAAATAATAGCACGTTTTAATGTTTTGATATTTTATGGTACAGATAATTGGAGTTTATTTATAATATTATTTAAGTGTAAAATAATATTGAAATGATTATTATAAATAGATTATTTTATAGATTTTAAATTTTATTTATATATTTATTTGTATACTGCGTACTGTCTTTCATATCTTACATTTATTCAGTGCTTATTTAAAAATGCAGTTTTATTGAGCAAAACATCCATGACCTAATGATGGCATGTGTTTTATTATTATTGTGATGCTTTACGGTGCAGATGAAGCTCAGGGGGAAAAGGCCAAGCAGAGCATCAGAGCCAAGTGTGCCGAGTATCTGGACCGAGCGGAGCAGCTCAAGCAGTACCTGAAGAAGAAAGAGAGCGCGCCGCCCTCCAAACCTGTCAAAGTTCCCCAGTCTGACGATAAAGGGTGAGAGGATCTACTTCCTGCTCAATCGGCTAATCCACTTCCTGTTACACAGAGTAAATAAAATGTCAAATTTCATCTTGTACAGGACTGACAGTGATGACGGCGATGCGGAGAAAAAGAAATTCCAAACTCAACTCCAAGGTACAACATTTTGTGTTGAAAACACACTTTATTAAAGTATCTGCAAGAGAAGAAACATGGATTTTCATGCTTTCCAGGTGCTATTGTTATGGAGAAACCCAACATTAAGTGGGACGATGTTGCTGGTTTGGAAGGAGCCAAAGAGGCCCTCAAAGAAGCGGTCATCTTGCCAATCAAATTCCCTCATCTTTTCACTGGTATGATGGGTTTCATGAATTCAAATGTCTGAAAATGTCTTTCTGAACTGCGCTGAAGCTCATCATTATGGACAGGGAAACGCACTCCGTGGAGAGGGATTCTGCTCTTTGGTCCTCCAGGAACGGGAAAGTCTTACCTGGCTAAAGCAGTGGCTACTGAGGCCAACAACTCCACCTTCTTCTCCATCTCTTCATCAGACCTGGTGTCCAAGTGGCTGGGAGAGAGCGAGAAGTAAGTGCTCTTCAGATGTCAAGAGGGAAATATATTAATATTGTTTAGAAGTTTGTCACATTTGAGTCTCGTTGTTCTCAATGTGTTTGTTGGCACTGCTTCTGTTATTGTCTGTTAGGTTAGTGAAGAATCTGTTCAGTTTGGCTCGAGAGCACAAGCCTTCAATCATCTTCATTGATGAGATCGACTCCATGTGTGGCTCCAGAAACGAGAACGAGAGCGAAGCGGCCCGCAGGATCAAGACAGAGTTTCTGGTCCAGATGCAAGGTAAACGCAGAGCTAGCGTTAGCTTTGTTGCAACAGCAAATCTGCCAAATGAGTCTGGGTCTCATTCGGCAGGGTTTTAATAGTTTTGAAAAAAAAAAATTCTTATGTAGGTTCAATTTCCCATTTAGTTTTAATTGTTCAGAAATTGTTTATATGTTTTGTTTATATTGTTTATAAATTATTTATTTATTTGATATATAATATAACAATATTATCCATCCATCTATCCTTCCTCCAAACCACTAATCTTCTTTTGGGTTGCTGAAACCTATATAATGTTATAATATAATATTTTATAACATATCTATTTTTTTATATTGATGTTTTTTCATTGCTTTTTCAGACCAACATTTATTGTTATACATGTTATACAATTACTGTGAATGAATAATTAATAATCTTTTCCAGATAATATTTTAATAATTTATTTTGACTTTAATGCAGTGACTTTATATATACAGTGGGTACGGAAAGTATTCAGACCCCCTTAAATTTTTCACTCTTTGTTATATTGCAGCCATTTGCTAAAATCATTTAAGTTAATTTTTTTTCCTCATTAATGTACACACAGCACCCCATATTGACAGAAAAACACAGAATTGTTGACATCTTTGCAGATTTATTAAAAAAGAAAAACTGAAAAATGCTCAGTATTTAGTAGAAGCACCCATTTGATCTAATACAGCCATGAGTCTTTTTAGGAAAGATGCAACAAGTTTTTCACACATGGATTTGGGGATCCTCTGCCATTCCTCCTTGCAAATCCTCTCCAGTTCTGTCAGGTTGGACGGTAAACGTTGGTGGACAGCCATTTTTAGGTCTCTCCAGAGATGCTCAATTGGGTTTAAGTCAGGGCTCTGGCCGGGCCATTCAAGAACAGTCACAGAGTTGTTGAGAAGCCACTCCTTCGTTATTTTAGCTGTGTGCTTAGGGTCATTGTCTATATATATATATATAAAAAATTTTGTTTTTTTGTGTGTTCGTAGCATTTTGTGTTCATGCATTATTTAAAATATTGATTATAACCTTAATTTTCCCATTCTATATGCTATACAATTATTGTGAATTAATATTTTCCACATAATATTTTCATTTTTTCTTTAGAAATTATTTTTTATTACTTTTAATAATGTCAACATACATTTAGGTAATATGTAATATAATAATTTCATAATGTTATAAAATAATATTATACTGAAGTCCTTTATTTTTATTGAATATTCTTGTTAGCAGTTGTTTTCTTTGCTGTTTTTGTCATCGTAATAGTTTCCATTATTTATTACGTTATTGATTCTAAACTTAATTCTCTCATTCTCGCAGGCGTAGGAAACGACAACGAAGGAATTCTGGTCCTTGGGGCGACAAACATCCCGTGGACGCTGGATTCTGCCATCAGGAGAAGGTGCGTCATACAAATTCTGATGGCTTTACATGTCTTTATAGGCATTGGTTTATTATTGTCTCATGGTTGTAGGTTTGAAAAGCGCATCTACATCCCTCTTCCTGAGCAGCACGCTCGCTGCTCCATGTTCAAGCTGCACCTCGGCTCCACTCCCAATAGCCTCGATGAAGCTGATTTCATAACTCTCGGGAAGAAGACCGACGGCTACTCAGGTGCCGACATCAGCATCGTCGTTCGTGACGCCCTCATGCAGCCCATCCGCAAAGTTCAGTGCGCGACCCACTTCAAAAAGGTACGGAATGACATTTATATAAAAGTTTGTTTCAAAAAAAGCTAATTATGACTTTGTCTCTTTGACTTTTTATCTGGCATTTCTGAGTTTGTCTCACAGAATTGTGAGACAAAAAGCCTGATTTATGAGATATAAATGCAGAATTGTGAGAAAAAGTTTATATCTCGAAATTCTGTCATTTGTTTCTCTGAATTCACAGAGAATCTCACAATTCTGAGTTTATATATCGTGATTCTGAGAAAAAAAGTCTAAATTGTGAGATAAAATTTCCGTTTAATTACCTTCACAATGGCCTTTTTTCATCGCTTCCAAAATCTGTTATTTTCACCGCCACAGAATAAAAAAAAATAATAATAATAATAATTGTGAGTTTTTAATCTCATAATTCTGACTTTTTTTTCACAATTCCAAAATTTCTTTTTAGGATTGTGAGTTTTTGTCACAAATCAGACTTCATATCTTGCAATTCTGAAATTATCAACAACAAAAAAAAAGAATTGTGAGATATAAATTCAGAGATTGAGTGCGAGAAAAACGTTTATATCTTGAAATTCTGACATTTTATTTCTCTGAATTCTGAGTTTACATCTTGCAATTCTGACTTCTGTGAAAGAAAGTCTGAATTGTGAGAAAAAAAAGTTTTTATTTATTTATTACATTTTTTATCCCATGGTGGAAAAACAAGCTACCATATTCTGTTCTTTTTATTGCCATTAAATAAAAATTAATAATTGCAACTTTATATCGTATCATTTATATCATAATTCCGACTTTTCTTCTCAGAATTGTGAGTTTATATCTTGTAATTCTGAATTTATTAAAAAAGTCTGAATTGTGAGATTGAAAAGTCACAATTACTTTTTTTTTTATTGCATGGCGGAAACCAGCTTCCATACGTTCGTACGCCTAGTGAAGCGTCTAATCAAGCCGAATCCATGCTCTCATGTCTGTTTTAACAGGTCAGGGGAAAGGCATGGAACAGCCCAGATGTTGTGGTTGATGACCTCTTAACCCCCTGCTCTCCAAACGACCCAAGCGCGATCCAGATGACCTGGGTGGATGTAGCGAGCGATAAACTCCTGGAGCCGATAGTCAGCTTGGTAAGTTTGCAGCTAGTGGGAGAAAAAAGCTGAAGTCCCAGAGCTTGTTTTGACCTTCTCGTCTGTGTGTCTCAGGAGGACATGTTGAGGTCACTCGAGAAAACCAAGCCCACCGTGAACGAGGAGGATCTGGAGAAGCTTAAGAAGTTCACTGATGACTTTGGTCAAGAGGGATGAATTTTTGCAGGATTCATGTGGAATTTATTTATATTTTCCCATCATGTTTACAAAAGCTCCTTCTCCATATTTTATTTTCAAAATCTTTGGCCAGTCTTTGATCCTGAGATTTTTTTTGGGGGGGTAACATTTTTGTGAGCCTTAATATTATCCTGAACATAACCAATCAGCACTAACAGCCATTTGAAAGATATTATTCCTAAAAATCCACTTAATTTTAAAAGGTTTGTTGCAAATGGGTCATGATATTTTTACTTGGACTTTTGAGAGAGATTAAAAAAAAGTATTTGTATTTATGTTGGTTACTTGTGCCTTAATGGCCGGTTACTTTTGTACCTTATTGCCAAATAAGACTTAAAATCACAACCAGTAAAAAGACAACCAGTGAGCTGACAAATATGTGAATACGTGTTTTGGGTATGCAGACCTCTTTCTTTGTCGCCTCGAAAGTGTTTATCATTTTTCTACTCTTTTTCTACTTTCGTCTGTAAATAAAATGTATAAACTACCTCCTCTTTGTGGTTTTCATGTCTTGTTCCGTTTTTGCTTTCATCTAATACACACACAAGGTACTTGAAAGAAATCGCAAGCAGACAAACAACATTAATGCACTAATGTGACATTTTTCGATTTACACTTACAAAACCGTATCCACTGGTATATACAAACACTACATTTTCTTTTTTATGTAATGTTGCAGTGTTTCTTATAAACGAGTGCAAACTGAAACTTAATGAGTGAACTGACCCAAAGAATCACGGGACATCTTATTTTAATAGTTTAGAAATAACACATCCATGATTATGTGGGTATATATTAACAAGTAAATTATTTTCTTGAGGTTCAAACAGCAAAGCAATAAAGAAAAACGCATTAGATATAAGCATCAAGTATGATGTCAGATGAAAAATGTCATTTTTCTGAATCACTGCTCCATTAAACTCAGTCACAAACGTTTAAAAACGAGTTAAACTCAACCATGGCCTGAAATCATCATGAAACATCTTGTATACATGAAGCAATTATGATTAATTTCTCTTATATACTCATGGTTATACATGTTATGTAAACACAACAAAGTCAAAGTACAGTAAAGAATAAATTGTGTGAATGTGACAGTAAATCCAACCGATCACATCGATCCAACAGTTTCCCTTATCGCTTCCCATCACAAACATTGTGAATAATAATTGTGCTAGTTCATTTCAAATGTTTTCTCAAGAGAAAAAAAACACACACACACAAACAGGAATCAAGACAAAATCAATCACATTTTTCAAAGTAAATAAATCTCAAAGAAAGTGTAAAGTCTCCACAAAAAAGGGAAGAATACACACTTGATAACACTGAGTATAAATAAACACAATAAAATGAGTTAAATGAAGGCCGCCACAAAATACAAAGGCAAAGAAAGGAAAAACTATTGAAAAAGGTGCAGGAGATTTAAGAACGCTCTCTTTACTCTTTCCTGAATAACATCACGCTCACCATCAGAGTATTAATCATAAATTATTACGAGTTTTCCTGTCAAATTAGATTTAACTGAATATTTCACACAAAAATGACAATTCTGTCATAATTTACTCACCCTTAAATTTCTTGAAATCACATGATTTTTAAAGACATTTAACAAAATGTTCGTGCAGCTGATTGCCATTCAATTAAAAATTCATATTTTATATAGATATTTTTTGTCAAAAAAGTATAGATTTTCAGCAATCCTTTGTTAAAGAAATGAAAACAACATTTAAAAAAATCATTTTCAAATGAACTATTCATTTTAAACAAAAACAAAAGGCAAAGAAAGGAAAAAGAATCTGAAAAAAGAGTGGTCAATGTAAGGATGCACTCTTTATACATTCCTGAATATTCCTGAATACTGTGACAATTGCAGTCACAGTATTAATCTGTATTATTACGAGTTTTCTTGCAAAATTATACTATACTATACATAAAGATGTCCTGGGTGTAAATCCATTTTTATTGTATGGAAAATAGTATCCTGAAAAAAGAAATTGTATAGATTTTTACTGATATTTTTTAAAGAAATTTTATGAGAATAAGATTATGACCGAATTTTCATTTTTGAGTGAGCTATTCCTTTTAAACGAGACCGTCACAAACATTTAATTCAGCACAATTTTGGCTTTGCAGCTGCAAATGGCATTTAAAACAGTTTCATTTCTAATTAGAACTAACATCATTCATTTCATCAAGGACTCAACAACAGACACTTTGTGTTTCTGCAGCTGATCTTTAAACCTCACTGATTATCCTTATCTTAAGACTAGCCGCCAATATTTTAGTGTATATCTTTGTATGCTACAGATTAAATTTGCAAAGCAAACGCGTTTGTTGGTGCCTAATCCAAATTACATAAACTTTGGTACAAAGACAATTATAGAAAAGTAAATGAATATTTGCCCAGCCCGGCTACATTATAAGACCTGCGCATTACGAGGCGTAAAGGGAAAGTTAAAACAACACGGGAAGGGTCTCCTGCACTGTAGGTCAGGTGGGGTTGGGCTGGGTTCACAAAAACACATTAGAATACTGAAAACAGGGAGCCGAGGGCCAATCCCGTCGCAGCACCAGCCAACATCCCCAGAGCAACGTCACCTGTGTCGTCACGGCGACGCTCCTGCACTATGACGTGGTTGACGCCGGGTGTGTATCCGCCTAATGGAGACAAATAACAAATGTCAATCAAACTACATAAAATTCAAATGTCAAATGTAGGGATGGGTATCGTTAAGGTTTTAACGGTATTACTACTCTTACCGATACTGCTTATCGATTCGGTACTTTAACGGTATTCTTATCGGTACTTTTTGTTTTATA